GGAATCGTTCCAGCCAAAACCGTTTTCCCGCCTAGTGGAAGTTAGGATTGAATCCGCCTATAGGATTTTTGCTTAACTAAGGAGAGAGTGATTTTAGACAAGACTGATTTACCTTTAAACACTGTCATTGCTACTGTGTGTCCGTTTTTTTAGGATTAAGCATATATGTTAAAACTGGTATTGCCTTTTGCATTCTGTGGCGATAAGTTTTTTTAAAAAGTGCTTATTCCTCGGTAGATGCTTTACTCTTTCACTTTGCGGCAAAAGAGGGAACTTCCATAAACGCATGGATTAAGTCTTTTCACAGATGTCAAGTATGAATCATTTTTCTGGTTTTTTATATTTTATTTGTTTGAGGGAGTACCTCTTTTGAAAGGCACTATGGTAGTAAATTCGCGTTGAGTATCGGCAGGAAATTGTAGACGACTGTGAAAACTTCATGGGTAACTGCTGGGCTAAGAACATTGCTTAAACGCTTCAGCCTGAAACACTCTGGAAAAAACGGTGGGATTTAGAAAGACCTTGCGCGGTTTCTTAACTTATTTCTGCCATACTACCAGTTTTTTTAATACAACTTTCAAAACAATTCTTTTATCAAATTGATTTGGAATGTTTCTGGGATTCGATATTTCGGGATTTTAGAAATTCTGTGATGAATGTGCAGTGGGGGTCGAATTAAAAGTCAACTGGAGGTAAAGTAATAATATTTATGAAGATGGTTATACAGCTTTGGTACCAATCCTGTAGCGCTTTGACCATCAAATGGCAGTGCTCGGTTTCATATCTGTCGATTTCTGATATGTTGATAGCTAGGAAATAGTGTTGTCGAAGTTCGTGAGACTGTTTGAGAAATCCTATTCAGGGTTTATAGGAAGGGTGCAAGGTCTGACAGGTGTAATAGGAAATGTTTATTACTAGCCTTCCAGCATTGTTTTGGAAAGGACACCAGTGCAGAAAATAGTTTAACGAGGTCCGCAAAGCCAGAAATGTGTTTAAATATACCTGAGTGAAAAGATTTTTTTCATATCAAAGAATTATTTTGAACCAACCTGGTTTGCTGCTAACAAAAAAAGGAACTCACATTGGTTTTCTTCTTAAACATGGGTGCTTTAACCGAGTCGGAAGCGATTTTGACATATAAACTTCACTGAGCTATTTGTGTTCGGGCACCGTACTGATTATTAGCTGTTCGGTATTGTGCTGTTATCTTTATCCTTGCACTCGTTCCGACAAATCAAGGGACTCTAAATTCAAAAAGCGGAATACCTTGAGGCATTAATTAGAATTTTCACCGTGCTTTTATGTGCTTATATGTGTGGCTGTATTGCCTACTTTTTGAGACTTTGCTGGTCCTATGTTACAGTGGTGCTGAGCAGGCAGAGTTTTTGTTGTACTAGGTCACTTTTTTAAGTGTTTGAGTTTGTCGGTGGACATTCTAGGGTGGTACAGGTTGTCTTCTGTTCCATGGCTTTTCTTTTAAAAAGTTATCCATTGCTACTTAATCTGCATGTGTTTTGCTGATTTTTTACTGTGGCTCAGAGGAAACAAATGTACACTGTAGAAGTCTGAAGTGTATTTCAATACTTTATTGAGCAGGCATTTTGGAACTAATAATTTTTAATTTTCAATTTTGGCTTATGTTAGAGTTGGCAGTTGTTTTTCATTTTGAAAATATCAATTTTTTTGAAAAAGCGGAAATAGCTGTTATGGTAGGTGGCTTCGTTAACTGAATGTATGAACTACCGTTTGTGGGAAAATTCTTGGGATTTTCCTTTATCTGAGTAGTCACTTATTACTTTTTCTTTTCTTATTTTATAAATTAAGCGTTTTTCAGTAACCGTTACTGGACCAAGATGGCATTCGTACAGCAGAATTCGACCACCGATAGTTAAGTTTCGTTCCGGATTTCTACACTTTTCGACTTCATGCTGATAAGTTTGATCATAATCGCGCTTTGTTAATGGGTCTTTTCATGACTTTTGTCTAAAGCTTTTTATTCTGAAATTTTGGAGACTTTGTGGTTCCGAGGTGAGGTATATGACCGTCAACCATTTAGTGAAGTTATTCTGGACTTTCGACTTGTTATTTTATGGTACTATTTTTGACTTTCACTTCTATTGTTTCTTCGATGGTGTTTCTTATTTTGTCTAATTTTTTTCTCGCAAAAAGGAAAGAGATGCTTTCTGAAAAATTTGCTCATTGATGGATTACCAAATTTAACAGAATTTCGTCCAAAGATTTATAGTTTAACGCTTTGTTTGTTGACGTCAGTGACACAGTCTTTTCTTTCATTTCTGAAATTTTTGTGTATTGAGAAATGAACAGTGCAGTTACGTTACGGATCCAAGTGTACTCAGTTGTTTGGACGATTCTCTTCGCCTGAACTGAAAGGCTTGTTGATATTGTTCCGAAAAAGAATTTTGTCTCTTTCAGACTTCCGCTTCTAGTCTTAATTATACAGATTACTAGATTTTTAACTGATCAATAAGTTATACATTTGGACAGTACAGGAAAATGTTTTTTGCGCTGCATGAAGGACTCTTCAATTTTCTGCTGAAGCATTATTTGTTTTGGATGTAGGTCTAGTTCTAAAAAATCATTTGCTTTGGTTACCAATTTCGGGAGGCCCATGTAGTGAGTTCGTCGTGCTACGAGGAATAATTTGGTATGCGGCTGTAGCATTCCTGAAGTCAATTTCCCTTTCTTGATAGTACATAGACAAATAATAATTTGCTTTCCGTGATTTTTCAGAACTAGGGTAATCATATTTTGAGTATTAACAGATGAGTGACAGGAAAATTGTAAGTTTAATAATGAAATACGTGTTTTTGTATTCCTGGTATTAAAAGTGAGCAAACAGCATTTGAAAGGTTCGAGTCATATTTGAAAAGTTTGTCCTGCATTTGTTGAGGCTGTAATTTTTTATACTTAGTGAAGAGGTACGAAATAATCTTTTTATTTTCTGCACTGGGGCAGGATCTGTTGCAAGTGATCAGTGGCATTTATTCCTTTCGGCCGGGTTATAATTCTTCTGCCAGTTAGACTGTTAGGATATATTTTTTGCGGAAATCTTTTAAAGTTTGGCACGCACTTGTTTTGCCTCTACAAAAGTACCGTAATTTAAATGTTGCATAATATATATTTAAGAGTGCTTTTTTATTTTTGGGATGTGAAGGGTGGTTTTCGTAGAAGGGGGTTCATTTTTTTACAACATTTGCTTTCACTTGTTAAATAATAGAGCGTTACGAGGTTTACTGTTTTCTTCTTGTTCTTGTACTGGTTAAAATGCAAGTCTTTTCAGGTTTCGAAAAGGAGAGAGTTGCGGTGATAAAGACTTGGAAGAAGGAGAGCTTAGTTCTGAGAATGAAGAATTTGCATTGCAAAGGTAAGCCAAGTAGAACTAGGATGAAGTTTTATAGGCGGGTATGGATTGCTCATATGTCCAGCTCTTCTAATCTGGGCTTTACATTGCAGTGGCAATTCCTTTATAACTGGGTTTTTACTTTATGACCTGCTTACGGTCAGCGGTTATCTGAAACTCATTCAGTTTTGTTTTATCAGAAAGATTCTTTCCTTAAGTTTATTAAAGTGTTTTGAAGATCGGCTTTACCTCAAAAGGCTTTTGGAGAAAAATTCGGAGATCTGGGGGGTCATTTCTTCAAAGTCAGCAGCGAAGGGGGTCCCGCTGAAGGAGGTTCTAAGGAGTTCTTGACGTCATTTATAAAGGAAATACCTTCTCCCGAAATGGTATTCTTCTATTTCCAAATAGATCTTCCTGACTAGGTGCTTGTGGGGTTTATTTCTTTTGGTGTTTAATTTGCTCAATTAGGTCTTGGAAATGGGAAGCAATGAATTGCGGAAGGCTGTCTGTGACATTTGCTTTCTCAACAGGATGCAGGATCGTATTTTTGACGAAAACGAGCTAGCAATAAGGTATCTTTCAATAAATGTCTTGGTTTATTAAATTTGTTTTATAGCGGTTCTGCGTTGTTGTGGAAACCTGCTTTATAAAATTGGGTATTCTAGAGTTGCCATCTTTCCAGAGAAAAGACAAAGCAGGACAGAATGCTTAATAGTCACTTTCTAGAATGGGAGGCTACTGAGACAATTTGTTGGAGAAGAGTTTTTGAATACTCCATTCCCGGGAGTATGCGAGGGTTAGGAAAAATAGTTTTTTCGAACTTTTTAGATTCTTTTAACTTATGTTTCTTAGCATTTTTAGCTTTTGAAAATTAGATTATGCAAGTCTTACAAGGTATTTATCGCTTTCTTGTTTTCATAGTGGCTGGAAAGCGAGTACGTTTTAATTTTAGTTCTGTAAACAGAAAAAAAGAGAAACGAAGGTTAGTTAAGGCGAAACCAGAAGAAGCCTCTTAGATTCTATGGGATTTTAGACGTTTGATGTATTTCGTATTCATAATGCAGAAAATAATAAGAGAATTTTTTCTAAATCACACTGGTTTCGTTTTAAATGAGTTCTTGTTTTTCAATGAGTCAGAGCCATGTAAAACATTATTTATAACTTTTTAAAACGTTGAAAAAATTCATTTCACTTCTAGTTTTATGTATTATTAGGATCTTAATTATGAAATTCTTCAGGCATTTAAAGGTTCAGCCGTGTAAATGGGAACTTAAGGAATGCGGCTCATTCTCTGTCGTATTCTTTGCTAGGACTTTGGGGGGTAGCGTTAATTCGGTTCAAGGCTTAAAGGATTGTTTGTTTAGACATTAGCAATGTGTAGGTGGTGAAATAAAATGAGTGAGAGGCAAAAAAAATTTATTGGATGTACCTCTGAAAAGCTAATAAATCGAGTGTTTGCTGTGTGGTTTAAATGTTCAATGAATTGTTATCTTGCCGGGTCATTAACAGTTTAGTTTTTTTTGGTCACTGGATCGCTTTTTTTGATACTTCACTTTTCTTTTCTTTCTTGCTGCAGATTTGGAAATAGTCATGCTTATAGTATTTCTCAATACCAAAGTTCAAGGCATTTTTCAAAAGCTGGAAACTGATGTAATTCGTGCTGTCCTTTAGTCACAGCCTATTCTCGCAAAATTTTTGGGAACTGTAGTTAAAGTCGGAAATTTGATGAAGGCGACTCTAGACTACTTTTTTCTTTGTTAAAAGGTTTATTATTTTAATTGCGCTCTTGTTGTGCAGGAAGCTTAACAAAATGCGTGATAACGAGCGGGACTTGATTAATAGTTTGTTAGAGCTGCTTTTGGGAATAATCGAGTCTTCTATAGCAAACTGTGATATGAGGAGTTTCGCAGGACTTGGGGAGTTTTTTCAACAGAATGAGAGTTTGAAAATGAAGTGTAAGTCTTTTGCCAATATTCTGTACAGTGAGGGATATTTATTCAGATAAGTTGTTACTATTTTTTTTATAGATGATGCAATAATGCTAAAGGTTGGGCAGACGGACAGGACTTTGTATGTTTTAATACATTTTTGACTTTTTTCATAACGTTATAATATGCTTCTAACAATTTTAAAACAACGTTTATGTTTAGTAATGTCTTTATTGCGATTTTAGATCTCCAAATATGCTGAGTCCCGATGGTGCTATTGGAACTGCAGCTTTACCTATCCCATCGTCTTTGAACGTGAATAACATTATTTGTCCTCCTCCGCCTTCTTTGCCACATATGATGTGTTTTCCCCCCCCTACAATCTTGAAAAAATTTGCCCCTCTTCCATTACCCCAAATTCATCATTTACCAATCGGAATTCTTCCAGATTTCTCTCAGCCTCCACCACCAATTTTAAAGCAAAAAGACGGTGCGAAACTTGATTGCGCTGTGTAGCTTAACAGTTTCTTTTCAAAAAAAGCTGGGGAGTAGTTTTCCATTTATTTTTTTCAGGTCATTTCCCTGTTAAGTGCACAGAAGGAGCAAAGACTGTTATTAAGCAGATGTCAACAAATGCTCTTCCAGCGTGCTCTGTTCCTCAGTCTCACGTGGTTTGCTCTGCTCTTAATGTTGCTCGAATTGAGAATATGAGACCAGACAAAATACAGGTAAATAAGCTTCATGGATAAATGATACATTAGTCTTTGAATGCTTTTCTGAGTATATTAAAGGGACAAAAGTGATGATTTTTACAAGGATTTGGAGCATTACGAAGAAACCTTGGTTTTTGACATTGGTTTTGTCGTGTGACATCTACCACAGTCTCGCAGTTCTCTTTCCTTCTTATTAATTTAAAGCGATTTCTCGTTTCAGGTTCCGACGTTCGATCGTCCTCCTCCGAAACGATGTGGGCTATATGCACAACGTCACAGTGAACATTTCAACTCGAATTTCCACCCCTTTCGTAGTCAGCGAAAGCCTCGTTTTGCGAGAGTGCAGATTTGTACACCAGATCGTAGGGTAATTAAGTAGTTTTATTTACTTGAAGTTGGTTGAAGCAACGGATTTGCTTTGTGCTGGTATGTGAAGTGATACGAAGAGGTCAAGCGTAGTACAACAGTAGTTTTTTACTTTTTTTTTCATTCGTTGGTTTGCGTATAGTTTTTTATATAAATGGAAGATTGCAGCTCGTTTTTACGGAGTCAAATGGTGTGTATTACCACGCAAAGGATTGTACTGTTGGTGACATATGCCTTGGTGGTTCGTCGTCTTCAGCACCTTACAAAGTTTCTTTGAGGAGAGGAAGACGTCGTTGATTTGATATGGATTTTTAGTGGAATACTTGCTAATGATTTTGTCGTTGCTTGAAATTTATCTTCTCACGAAGCATTTCAAAGATCTCATATGTGTCATTTTCTTTTGATCTCATCATTTCCAATGCATATGCTGGGTACTATATTTGTTCTCAAGAATGACATTGCTCTCGAGACAGTTCTCTCTGCTGTTTCTTTTGCATCATATACTGCGTTTATCATCCCAGAAGTCATGTTCTCTGCGTCAGTTTTTTGGATTTAGTGGATTGGGACATGTTATCAAATCTCCATCTTTGCTTTTTCGACTTTTTATGGCTTCTCATTTCAGCGTTGTTTTGGACCTCATCGTTTTTTTTATTGTAAATATTACACCCTCAAAATTTATCGCTAAAGTTGATTTATTTCTTTATGTTCTTACCTTCTGATTATTCTATACTGTTTGTTAGTTTTTTCATCTACCTATGTCGATTAATACTTCATTTTACTGCTTCCTTTTCGCATTTTAAGGAGGCTGACTTTGCTCTGAATTTACTGTCAGGCATTATTGGTTAACAACGACTCTGTGATTTGTTTTTATGAGGTTTGAAATAAACTTTAAAACTTAATTTTAGAAAGACGCATTCAGTAACTTGTGCTTCCCATTATTTTCTCTTTGGAGGCGTTATACTAAGTTTGAATAGATCACAGTAGCAAGTTCCCTGGCTTTTATTGGCTGACCAGTTGCAGCAGTAGTTGTTTAGAGTCGTAATGTCGAGCGCAAAGAAAAAAAGACCGGTGCAAGAGTGCGGACAGTGTGGGTGCTTTGTTTTAGCAAAGGATTTTGAGAGGCATAAGGTAGGTTGCTGTCGGAAGGTTTTTTTTTGAGACATAATTGCTTCTCCGAAACTCACTCTTCATGCTGAAAGCTTAGGTTTCAGGATGCTTGTGGGGTCGAAACTCGTATCAGTGAGGTTCAGTTGGTTGAGCCCAATGCTGTTTTAGTCGCATTTGAGCAAGCACTGGAGAAGTGGCAAGAATATTTAGCACCAGACGTTTTTGGTTGGGTGAGGCAAAGCTCGGTTCTTGTTAATCCGGAGACTATGTTGCATTTAAGGGTAATTCCACGGCAGCCATGTATATATGAGAGCAACGAAAATAAGCGTTTGGTTTTGGTATGGCCTTGTGACATGGTAAGTATTTACTTGGATTATTTGGTCTTACTTTTTCTGGTATATTCAGATCACAATCGGAAACAGTAACTTTTTTATTGTTAGGACACTTATAGAAGTTAGAATTTAGTATGCTTGCGGTAGGTTCACAATTAGTTTCGAAAATGGTTTTTCAGTTGATTGTCTGGAGGGTTTTTTGAAACTCTTTAGTCCTTCCAAAGTCCACCGGTTTGGTTAGATGGAATTTTTACAATGATTGAAGCACTTGTTTAACCTGTTCACTGCTACAGGAAGGAGTTCTTAGAGAACCAAAGCGGTTTCATTGAAAGTTTTGCGTTGAAAGAAATTTTTTTTGATAGAGCGGTTTTTTTTAACTGTTGGACTACTAATTCTATTTTTTTATAGTAATGGTTACTAGCGGAATAGATTTTTCAATAAAATATTGTTATATGGCAATTAGGAGCAGTTTATTTCTGAACATTAAATTAATTTGCATACTAATTTAGGTTTCACAATTTCGAGTCTGTGCTGGAAGTAAAACAGTTGGTGGCTTGGTGCGCTTATTTCCTGCTCATAAAATTTCTGAAGTGAAAAATGTTTCTCTTCGCCCTTTAGGAACATTTCATAACTTTTACGACACGGCTCATTTCAGGTTTCATGGGCATATGTATAAAAGCAATGAAGATCCTGTCATGAAGCTGTTAAAGTAGAAAATACTTTTTAAATTCCAGAAATTACGTTAACACCTTCTTGTCTGGAAGCTACCTTTTGCCCGGCGGAATTACACAAATCCCCTTCTATGGGATCTTATGTCGTTTTTTGGTTGGAACCTCTTTAACTGAACGTATGGGTAATCTGACTGTTTCAAGTCATCAGGATCAAGTATTACGATTGGCAGTGGGGAGTAACATTTCTATACAAGGGAAAGGTGTCGCTTTTGAAAAGGAGAAGCTTTCATTTCTTGATCTTGGAGGAAACGAGAAAGCGAAGAGTGATATTTTTAATTATACTGTGGTTCCATTGCAAAGGTTAGTTCCTGCAATTTGGTGGGCGCTGTAGTCATTGGGTACGTTGTATGGTAAAAGTATGTTTAAGTGGTCCACGTCTAAATCCCATTTGTTATTTAAGGGTGACTCAAAAACAACAATGATATTCTTTTTATTCATTCTACTTGTATCACACAAAAATTCTGTTTATCTTCAAACTTGTAGGCTGTAAATGTTTGATGCTGGGAGCTCAGTTTTTGCTGTTTTTGATTTTCATTTAGCCATAAAACTA